GGAATTAGGGCGTACTCAAGAGAATTGATAGCCCAATTAAAGGGTTAAACCGAGAAATCGTAATACCCGACTTGTACTTTACTTGCTTGTGCAAATTTGCATACCCAATTGGTCTTGAAAAAGTCAATTCAGACAAAATCACTCGAACTACCGAGAGGTATAGAGCGAGTAGAATCGAGCAATGATTATATCATACTCCCCAAATGTGTCAATCTAGCTTTAGACTCAAGAATCCATCAATTGACCACCTAGGCGAAAGTCACTACCCTAGTGCCTTTTAATCATTTGAACAACTCACAATAGTTTAATCCTTGCTTATTTTAGTTTAGTTGAGCATTGTAGTTTTATAAAATTAGAATCATAATTAAAACCAAAAATGTGTAGAAGTGCAATTTGGAGAAAATACACAACTCCACATTAGATAGACACTCAACTCCAATATCTAGCTCCCTGTGAAAATCGATCCCGACTTTAAATCGGGTAAAAGCTGCTTCGACCCCTCTCTCGCTACTCAATAGTAGTGCAGGGTTGGCTCCGATCATTTATGAAAATTTCTCAAAAAATAACGCATCACAACAAATATACATGGTATTATTGGGAAACTACCAGTTATATCCATTTATAAGTAGCTCATTACAAAAACTGGCCAATTCATAAAATATTACTAATATTAGCCAATTAACTATTTGTAGCAAAAAAAGTTCAAATTTTTGCTTTCTTTTGAGTGGGTGTTATTACAATAGATTGGGTACATCTTAAGGAACTTGAATCTCAGTTTTGGGATGATTTGGTGAAGTTTTGAGGTGGTTTGAATTGAAAATTCGAAATAAAAACAGAGCATAAAAAAATAATATGTTGTGTATCATTTGTGCATCACATTTGTATCATATTTGTATCAATTGTGTATCATATGTATGTATACCTGTGTGCGAGATACATATATGATACAATGTTTGATACATGTGTCGCAGAAGAATTTTTTAAACTCGATTTAATTACGAATTTTGATACAAAACCAGTTCAAATCATCTCCAATCTTCCTCAAATTGTATATTGACTTATCTATATGTTTTCAATGAATTTCAACTATACTCATTGAAAAAGTTCCTTCTTTGCTTAGATTTTTGAAATATTGTATATATTTTTTTTGTATTTCATCACCATATTTGCTACCTCATCCATAAAATTTCCTTTCCGTCTTGTGTTGCTAATCACACTTAAAAATATTGGAAGGTGATTTTTGCATGTGATTCTTTGAGAGAAAAAACCTTATTTATTTGATTTTTCAATTTTTATATGTGGTTGGCTAGTTTTGGTAAGTTTATGACTAATGGCTAGAGGTTGGTAAGTTAAGACTTATTTGGGACATTTGTGTAAGTTTTTCCCTTTATTATTTGTAGCTATGTTTTTAAAAAATTACCATTTGTAGCTATATTTGAATATTATAGCAATCTACATATAGTATTGAAACAAGAGATCAATTGTTTTAAACTGAAACAAGAAAGTAACAAACTCTAGTAGCTCAGTTTGTTAGACCCCCCATTTAGGTGGGGGAGGGGGGAGGGAGGGAATTAAAATAGCCAGATTTACAACTGGTAGTTGAAAAATAGCCACAGTTTTAAAGTTAACCGAAATTCAGCCACTTCTTTATGTAAAAATAAAATCTAAACAAAAATACCCTTAAAAATTCGAAAATATTCCAACATTATATGCTGGGATTCGAACTTTTTACATATGAGATTCCAACATAATATGCTGGAATTTCATAATGTGCTGGAGTTCCAACTTAATATGCTAGAAGTTTATACGCAAGAGCTCCATAATCCCGCATATTATGCTGGAAATTTCCATGTGCTGGAGTTCCAACATAATATACTAAAAGTTTATACGTAGAAGCTCCATAATCCCGCATATTATTCTGGAACTTTCCGTGTTTCAGCAAAATAGTGACTATTTTTCAATGACTTTGTAAATGCTGGCTATTTATTGATTACCAATCCGAAAAATAACTAACCCGTGCTATTTTCACAAAAGTCTTGAATGTGATACTCAACGAGAGTATTCTATTTTTCTGTATTTTTGTATTTCGCCTTGTATTATACAAGTGATACGTAAGCAGTAGTACTTCGTTTAAGAAAGAAAACTTTGAAGATAGTTTAGAATCTTTTTTCTTTGCTTGCAAAGGGAAAGAAATACGTGGATCTAACCCCATCTCAACAAAGGCTGGAAGAAAAAGAAAAAAAGGATTCAACGAGGACACCTTGATCCACTAATTACTTTTATCATTCAGTACGTGAGAACGAAATATATATATTTTTAAATTAATGTAACCGACTTGTTGGACTTTGTTCCCCACGTTTATTTGTCACTCCCAAGCTGATACTTGTATTATTATATATCTATTTAGCTCACATAGGTGTATCACAATTACGAAAAAACAAGTGTATTACAGTTTGGACAAACGCTCAGATAAAGATTAAATAGGTTTTGTTGTTCATCTTCATCTTTCACCAGTAGTATCTCCCTCCCCGAGCTCCTTTGTCTCTCCCATGATCATTTTATCACAGATTCTAAAGATATAATTCTAGATAAAGACGTATTTTTGCAATTAGATTCTTTTTCTCATAGTAAAAAAAAAATAATTACATAAAATATAAGTGTTCGCTATGTTGGTAAAGCTTATTAGACTTAATGATCGACAAGTTTTCCTGAAAGAAGTAAATCACGGGATGTATCTAGCTATCTTTCCTCACTTAATAGCGAACATCTCACTTGGAATAACAAACATAAAGATGGCAATTGGGGTGGGGCATGACGGGATAGGACACGACAAACACTAAACGGGCAAGGGCAGGGGAACAAGTAAATGGGGCGGCGCAGGGTAAAATTATATTTTTGAAGAATCTTAATGGGACAGGGCGGATTGTAGGTCATCCCTTAGTCCCAATAGTGGGCCATTAGGTATCATGAGGCCCAACTTTTCCTTGCTTACTTTATTATTCATGTATTTTTTTCGTTCATAAATTGATAAATATGTACTTGAATAAGTAAGATATTGTGTACGTGACTATGTATTTGACTATATGTATAATTAAAATATTGAAGTAGCTAGCAACTGCCTACTGACATTTTACTACAATACGCCATACTTGGTCAACAAATGCTTATGTTGTTACATAACTGGGTTTACTTAGAGATGCCAATTGGGGGGGGGGGGGGGGGCAGGGGCAAACGACTAAATACGGGATAGGGTAGGGGAACGAATGTAAATGGGGACGAGGGCGGGGATAGGTGGCGAAAAATTACAGT